TCCAGAAATATAAATAACAATAAAAAAATCCCTGACTATGGGTCAAAAACCCCTTTTGCTTTCTATCTTCTTTTACTCGTTGTACTGTACTGAGCAAACTGTACTAACCCAGACGCAGAAAATGTACTTCTTAAATTATATTCCCGTTCTAGTGTAAATTCATCTTCACTTTGGATTGATCCACTGAAGCTGTGTATTTGTAAAAGAAGATATTTAAACATCTTACATTGAGACCAAAGCAAAAAATCCTAACTTTTTTAAATCTTCAACTGCAAATTTTGCAACACTGCAACTTTGCAATAAAAGTCTATTAGGAGGATGCACCTCCAAAATTTTATATGATACTCCTTGTATTATACTTTCCAGAAACGGATATAGAGTTAAGGATTTCTCTTTAATGTGTGAAGGAAAGACTTCTGCAAATCTTCCCAGTCCCATGAGACAGAGCTTTTAAACTGAAGGACTTGACAACTTTTCCCACAGTGTTTTCAAGCACTCCATTGGAAAAAGCCTTTCTTGGTATTCATTGTCTGATCTGTCAGATAGTCCAAAATTCTTCTCACTGAAATGGGGGGAAAAGTGAGACAGATGAAAGCACATTAGATATTCTTTGATTTTTCAGAAGTCTTAACAAGAGGTTTCTGAAAACCCAAGAGGAAAGAAAAATCTAACTTAAAGATGGAAAGAGACTGCAATTTGGCAGAGTTCTAAATCCAAATCTCCTGCTTAATCCTTGATTGTAGACAAACATATTCCTGACTGCTTCAAAGAAAAGCTGTGATGCTGGAAGTACAAGGTACGTCAGAACATCCCAACTGAATGTAAATAGAGAAGTCGACTATCTCATCACAGTAGGCATGACAAGATGCCTGCAGATAAAAGGGTTAAATGATAAAGAAAAAACTAGGGATGGTTACTCATTTAATTTTATGAAATTCAGTGCCCATAGCGGAATGAAGTGAGGTTATGCACCACTGTGAATAAATGATAGAAAAATACAGATTCCTTTTCTCTGAAAGGCAGTCTTGTCCAGATGTCACAGGAACGTTCAGTTTGGAACTAAACCATACCATCACTTCTTTGCTCAAGAACTTGGCAGGATTTTCTCCTTATTTTGATTTAAATGATAACTTGAAGAACACATTGGTAGTAGATAAAATGTATATTTATACTATCTTTTTTAAAAACTGTGCTTAGAAACACAAATAATTTTAAATTAAACTCAAATCTTGTTGTATACATATTGCTCACTGAGAAACACTAAGTTATTGCTGGTAAAGTAAAAAAAAAATCAGGAAGAATTGGATGGAGAACAGTGAAAAGAAGTTAGAGCGGAAAATGCAATAGAGAATTCTTTTCTCCAATCTACGCAAAGTAATTTGTGAAAATTAGGATTCTGAATATATTCCAGAAGATGCCAGATAAAGAACTCTCAAACTGAACTCAGAGACCTATCCATATCACCTAAAAATCTCTCTACATCCATCTCCCTACAGAGTTCACTCCGGTTCACTGTTTCCTTTGGTGCTATTGTCTGCCATGGGGTTACCATCAGAGAACACTGGTAGGCAGTACTTCCCTCTAACATCTATTTTCAACGGCCTAAATTGGTCTTCATAGGATTCCATTGTGCAAGCTGCAAAGAAACTTGTCTTGTTGCCAGCTAGAACTCTGAACTACATGTCTTTCTTTTCTTCACTGTTCTTTTTTTGGTTCACAAGCAACCTCCTACCAAAAGCAGAATCTGCAGAAGAGACTACATCCAAGCAATAATGCAATGAAAAGTATGAAGAGAAGCCCAGGTGGCCACCTTGCAAATTTCCAATGTGGAAGCCTTCGACCTCTCCGCCCAAGAAGCAGCTATAGTCCTAGTGTAATGAGCTTTACAAACCCTGGGAGCCTCTTTACCCTTAACTACATACGCCTCTCTAATACAATCCCTTAACCATCTAGCTAAGCAACTCTTAGAAGCCATTTGACCCCTCTTAAGACCCCCTAAGAGTACAAACAATCTGTCAGAAGATATGAAATCTTTGATTCTTCTGTGATAAACCCTAAGTGTTCTTCTTACATCCAATTTATGCAGCCGTTGCTCTTTGTCATTGCTGGGTTTAGGGAAAAATGAGGGCCAAGAAACCGTCTGGTTTAGATAAAACTCAGATGCCATCTTTGGGACAAAAAAAAAAATTTAAAAAGAGGAACCATCCAAAGAACTACTTTGTTTCTGATGGAACTTTATACATGTTCTAAATATCAAAATTGAAGTACTATGGAATATAAAACAAAAAAATCAATTGACATTGAAACAGCTATACACATAAACACATCACTTGACACAAGCACATGAAAAAAACATTTTTGTTGCATCTCTGTGTGAGTTACATAGATTAAAAGTCTCCCATGAATACTAAAAGCAACTAAAAAATAAACGAAACAAGTACAAGGCTACTGTCTATGCAATGCCTAGGGAAACTTTAGGTGACTTGGACATTCATCTACCTTTTATGAATCAGCCATCTTTCCCTAATTGCCAGCAGTACTACTTGCAGAGGACTGATACTTCAGATATCCCTCACTGCAGAGATAGCCTGGATATACCCAACCTAGCTTTAACCCTCTGAGAGTATAGGTAACTGTCTACCACCAGCAGCACACACTTCAGCCTGGGCTTATCTGCTCTGCTTCTTAGGCTGTTTCTGCAGCCTGTGCTGCACCATAAACCTGACCTTTGTACCCAAGTTAATTTAAAGCTGCTTCGGACACATCTACAGTCTTGACTCTGTCAAATTAAACAAGATTTCTAGTAATAAGGCTTCTAAATAAGTACAGAAGATGGTTGTTATATTGTCTAGTTAAATATTATAATGTGTTCTGATGAAAATAAAACAAGGATTCTAATCAATCTTACCAAAAAACTTAGCCATCATCACTGAAAACAGTAAGAATCAGTGAAAACAGTAAGATTATCAACCCAATGTAGGACATTAACAGAGACAATCTTAAATCCCTTTTGGTACTTAACACAGCCTGGAACTACTGGGAACATAGATTTCATTCTCCCACATCAAATAATCTTTCACTTTACTACAACTGCGATTTCCAACAATATGAAATTAAAATAACACCAATAAACCCTTCTTCTAGTCAGGCCTCTAGTTTAAAATTTCTCTGGACATGTCCTCTTTTCACAAACTATCTGTAAATATATAATTGAGCAACATTTTGTGAATAGAACCAGATCAGAACAGCAAGTCTAAAAACCAAAGTATGTCTGAAGACTTCACTAAAAGCATCTGAAAAATACTTACCCTCACTTGCTTTTCAGGGTAAAATGAATTCCATGGTTTTTTTAGAATGTACCTTCTACCCACAAGACTGCCTCCTACAAGATCTAATAATATTTCCCATTCAGATATAAGGAGAGGTACCAATTAAGAGCCGACTTGCTACAGACATGATTACTTTCAAAGAATATTTCTCAAAAAAGGTTGCTTAACACTCTTTGGAGAAACACTTCTGTAATTAACCTTGGAAAAATGCCTGCAGGACAATTTTTATATCCTGGAAAGTAAAATATTTCTTACTAATGTTGAAATCTTTAAGTTCTCTGAATTACTGGAGACCACATGCCTTAAAATATAGTCACATAAATAAATTTCCCATTCAAGGCTTTTTTATTCTTTTTTATGCTTTCTCACTTAATACAGTAATAAAAAGTACATTTACCATTGCCCTTACTGAATGTGTACCCTGTCCAACACATGAGGAAAACTCCACAAGTTTATTCTAACACCTCTTTGTAGAATAAAGGCCATAAAACATAAATTATAATGTATAATAGCTTAACATTTCTTGAGGATTAGTAAAACCAAGCGACTAAATGAGCCAGAAATACATTGAAGTCAGTAGCAGAAATGGAATGTACATTTTATTAGAGCTTTGATGTATATTCTAAAAATATATAGGTTATCCTGTAGTTCTTTATTTTGGCGTGTCAATACTACAGGTGAAGAACACATCAGCAAAACGTGTGTCTTGGAACTCTTCTTATTATTTAATATTTTTATTTTCATCAATTCAGTATTCTGAGACCACATCATTCCCAAAACATCTTTCTCCTCAGCCTGCAGCGTGACTATAGAGATAGTGAACATTTGACTTCACCTATCCTTTCTCTCCCTGAGCAGCCTGGCCTCATTTCTGGTATGATCTTTTCCTGCAATAGAATCAAAGCTCTTGAACCCACTTCTCTCTCATGACTTGGAGTCTCTACTGGCAGAAGCGGCAGAGTAGAAGAATGTTTATGAGGATACTCCTGGAAGGTTTTATTCACCTGAATTTTCATGATACCAGGTTCTCCTGAATACAATTAGATGAAAAAAAGAGTGAGCTTGGGACCTATAGCAAATGAAAACCTGAGGCTTGATCATTTTACTGATGTAGAGCCTCCTTCTGTAACACACCCACCAAAGCCAGTGGGATAAGCATGCTAGTAAACATACTACATATGAGTAAGTGTGAGAAATACAGGTTAAACAAGGACTATATCCTTAAGTAGTTCATTTCATGTACACTAAGATCAACTAAACTGATATTAAAGTCAGTGCTTTTCTCTCTTGAAAAAGGCAGCTTACAAGGATATGAAAAAGTCAGTTTCAAAGAATTCAGACTTCAAGTATTGTGTCCTATGTGAGACACAGGATTTTATAGAGAATCCAGCAGGAGATATCTTGTTACAGTGTTTGATAGTTTTTTTATCATGACTCTCCATCAATATCTACAGTTAGTACATCACATCTTTATACAGAAAGATCAGTTCTTTTCTCTGAGTCATTGTGCTCAAATGTAAATCTGCACATTTCAAAAGCTTTTTCAGTGGATGTAATAACATATTTATTTGAAAAATATGATGACATAAATTAGGTAATTAATGTTGAAAATAGTACAAAATTATTCTTTTGCACAAAGTAAACGAATAAATCAGGACAAGCATTCATTACCTTGAACATTCTTATTCCTCTCTGTAAATGAAGGCAGCAGCAGAATTTCTGTAGAGAGTTCTTCAATTTTTTCCTCCATTAATAAAAAGAGTTTGATAAGTTGAGAAAGACATTTGAGTTGATACAAGGTTAAGCAGAAGTTCCGTCCTTTCCTGTGGTATTCCTGGGACGCTATTCAAGTAAAATTATAAAATTGCTTTTATTACAGCTAAAAAAAAAAAGATCTGCAAAACTGATTATGTAAGACAGTATAATGTATCCATCAATTTAATTTTTCTTATAACATAATGCATCTTTTTCTCATTATAAAGTACTATGACATTATTTTTTCCTAAGTCTTCAGCACTTCTGAATTATCTGTGAGGTTCCAACTGAATTCCAGGTTTTGTATTCATTAACTAGGATTTTTTTCCATGCAATGGATGTACTCAGAAATGTTCTCACCTGTGTTTTAAAGAAAACTCACTTTGTTGCAAAAGCCGAAAAGGAAAAAAACACATCATTACTGTATTTTAATGGTTTGGGACATCACATCACTTGTCACTCTGCAAGTCACCTTGTCTGTTTAACAATCTGCTAGCACAATACAGTTGATGAATATGACATTTGAGTGAAAGAAACATCAATCTGACACTCTACAACTTTAAATATGTGGGGTTTGGAAACAAGCGAGACTGTCAGTGAGCAAATATCAGCAAGTATTATAGCTATAAGCATTTGGTATTTAAAAGAAGAAACCGAACAATTTATTTTGAAAGGTTAACACATGCAGTGATAACATATAATCATGTCACATCACAAGGGAACTCTGATACTAGCACAGTCACACTATAAACGACTGTGAGGCGTTTCCAATTCAGTATCACCAAACCACACGGATTTAAGGACTTTAATTTTATAATGTCTTTAAATGCAACAAATTTGCACTTCTATAGAAATTGTGGTGAGCTAATACCATGTTCCTACACAGTTCTGTTGCAGATGTAACATCTAATCATCTAAGTTAATCTAGAAAGTTTCAGAGGGAGAGCCAGAGTAGCTTGAAAGGGAAGCTCTGAAAGATGAAAACAAAAATAAATTGATTGAAATGTACTTTTATGCATCAAGTCTTCCTTACTGTTGCAAATTTTAAGTACTTTGTACCTTCATTTTCCCTCAAAGTTCCTAAATATTTTTTAGGCATTTATAAATCACTTTTAAATAGACATATATCTAAATAGCAGAGCTGAACTCTGAATACTAATTCCATAATTTGCTATTTTAGTTTTGCAGCCTTAGAGACTGGACTGCAGATTTTGCATCCCCATGTGAGTTTCCTCAAAGTTCCAAACAGATGTATTACGTTAGTCCCTTGCATTTCTAAGAATGTCTAAAGAGTTATGCATAATTGCCTCTGTTAGTGTCTTTCCTCTCTGAATAATAAGTAAATAACAAATCTATCACTGGATTTCTAATTTTAAGTCTTAAAACCTACGACAAATCACTTTCTGCTATTTAGAGGATTTTACTCCTTACCTGAGAAGTAGAGAATATAATCTGACTTTGACCGACATGAAAAGACTGCCTGAGTAAGCAAAGTAAGAACCACAAAACACATCATAAAAATGAACAGAACATTAGTTCTATCTACTATAATTTGAAAACCTTGTGATGCTTCTGCCCCATCTATGGAGGAATAAGGAAATCATCCACTTATTTGATTGCCTCGAATGGTATTGTCCTTATTAGACTGAAAGAAAATGGCCGTAGAAGACAAAGGTAATGCTATTTTTAGAATACATTACCAAACTCAGAAAAAGTAAAAACTTTTACTTTTAATGATCATTCAGAATACATTTCAGTGTTATTGGTTCTCAGAAATAAAAACTCATTTATTTAGTGCTTGATGTTCAAGTAGTGTGCATAGACCTGAGTATCCAAAGCTTGACTAAAAAGCCTTATATACATCCAGATCATTAGGTTTAAAATACTGATGGCAGCATTTAATTTTGAAGACCACTGACCAGCCTGCTTGAAGAAGCACATCACTGTCCATTTTTTGGCAGAGTAGAATAAAAAGGCACTTATTTTCTGACATTGTTCTAATTGGACAACCACAGGACAAAAACCTTTAAGAACTAACAGCCAAGAGCTAAGCAGCCATGCGATGATGGCATAGAGAACATCCCAAAACAGGTTTAGAAATCTCGCAAAAGATTGTCATAAAAAGAACATGTCTCTATGCAGACAGATGTGAAATAAAAATGAAGGCTGTGATCTATGTTCAACCAAACCTCAGCAACATCAACCTGTATGGAGGAAAATTGGCCCTATTCACAGAGTGGAGTATGCCTACCCTGAAAATGTTACTTAATGTAACTTAATAACACATAATGTGACTTAGAGTGTTAGGTCAGAAAACTAATCTAACTCATTTACCCAGGTGAAACAGTACAGCAAGAGAAACACCCCTCCATGATGAAAATAGTCTGACATTGTTGTTAGCATCCAGTCCACAGAGGACCATGCACAGGATGGCTGAAAGCTCATGAAGCTGATCTCAGCCAGCCACGAATCAGTTAAGCAATGGCATTCCAGTCTAACTGCAGGATATAAAGGAAATGAAGAAAGTCACATGATACAAACCAACTTCCTTCCTGAACCACCTGCAATTTACTATCATTCTTCTAAATTTGATGTTTTTCGGCATGTCTGACCTTAATTCATGTAGCCCTTGTATAAGGAAATAGCTGCAGCAGGATCTTTGGATATAGACAAACATTAACAGTACCTCAATAGCACCTCCTAACAACAGGACATGTTGGATTCCTGCTAAAGCAATACCTAGAGAGAAGAATTTCTAAAAAGGGACAGAAAGGCTGCTACAGAGGCTATAGAGAGGTAAAGTACATTCTACAGCCTTTGTCAGTGTGCCAATGAGCTGATTTTGCAAATATTGCTCAAAAAAAGTTGAGATCAGGACCTAAACAAACACAGAGGAGCAAGAAAAGGTTCTGAGCTCCTGAACATAGCCCAAGGCTTCCATCTCTGCAAAACGGGAATCACAACCATACTGCTGTACAAGACCAATGACTATGCTGATCATTCCTAAAATGCTCTGGAGGCCAAATCTGCTAGCATAAATATCCTAAGTCAGGAAAATGAGCTATCTTTGGCTCAGGAAAATTCAAATCAAGCACAGTGTCAGGGGCCACTGAAATCTGGCTGCTTCTTGAGGAACAGGGAGTCAAGCATGATAACACAGCCAGCAAGAGAGATTCCTTGCCAGCCAGGGCCTCCTCCTGCAGATACTAGCAAGGCAGACCCTGAGATGATAGGTTTCAACCAAGACTCCATATCATCAGCCAAGTGCATGGTGATGACACAAATCTGAGGTCACGTCAGGAAGAAAATTCACCCTTTTTGAGTCTGGATCTGGTCTGGTGAAGGTAACCACATGTCAGGCACAGTTCAGTGACCACTCAGTGGAACCATAATGATAAGGCAGGTTCAAGCTCAGGGCAGGAAAATTTAATCAATGGGGTCCACAGCTCTAGGAGAGCTGAACAGCAGGACACCTGTGATGTAGTTCAAGCAGGGACTGAGGACCCCAGTACAGATGAAATAGATCTCCTGAGCAGGCTGCGATATAGGTCCCTGAAAAGGCTGGTCAGGGCCTTCAGGCTCACTAGTGCGCACAAGGCTTTGTTGCATTAAGGAACTTTGAGTTTTCAGACAAAAAACTCAGAAAAACTGGGAAACTGTCTTTCTGCTTCATGGAGGACAGCACGACTATTTTTCTAAGAGGAGAAAAGAGAATACTTGAGGTCTCTGCTATCAAGACTGCAGTTCTTTCTGGCGGATAGGAGGGAGAAGATAAAAAGTTACTTGAATTAACTTGAACCTGCACTGCATTTATTTGTAGCAAGTAAATAAATCTTGATGGTTCATTACACAAAACTGAAATGAAGCAAAGGAATAAGCTCAAAACTTTCATGCAATAAACATCTCTACATTTAGGTAATCTGTCCTCCTGAGTTTGTGCCACATAGAGGCAGAGGGAACCTAAAGGATATTTACTTTATTCAGAAATGCTGATTTACTATCCCAACTATCAAAAAACAGGCACCAGAAGTCTGTCAACCCAAATCTGTAACCCAAAATGTTACTCTTAGAGAGCTTTTCTCTTATAGAAAAAGAAGACCCAAGTAAAACCAATACTGGATATCTATCAATTTGTGCAAGGTTTGTGTGCTTGTGCCAAGGCTGCTGAAGCAGTTATACAACACTGGAGAAACTAGGGGTACTATTTTCAGGTTTGGTCTTTCATGTTAGCAGAATGTACTGAAGCTGAAGAAATTTTCCTAAGATCTGAAGGACACGCCACCCTTGTCGAAGAACAAAGCTGTCCATTTTACCAGAGACCATTTGGCTGGATGTAGCTGGACAGATGGTAGCATAGAATTTCACTTCACCAGTGATGAAGTTGAGAGGTGCCCATATGAATTCTAAGACAGCTAATAAGTTAATTAAAGCATTTTTCAAGCAACACAAAGTGAAAGATATTCTATAAAACATTTGATTATACATGACCTTCTCGTAAGTACTTAAATTCAGTAGCAAGGTATCTGACTTTATCTTAGCATTTTAAAGATTTTCCCTCATCTCTGAAAATTAAGACACATGAGAAATAAGGCTGAGCTAGATCTAGATGACCTGTGTATATCTGCTAACTTGTGATTTTATAGCAAGTTTCAAAAGTGATACTTTCCTCAAAGCTGTAGCTTTTGAAACCATTAAAAAAAGTGTTCCAACTCCCTTGATTATGGTCTGGAGGCACTTAAAATCTCAAAAAGCATAAGAAAACATGTATGAGTGACACCTATAAGCTAAATGCAACTTTTGTTACTGTTTTCTAATTTTTTTTAATGAGCACAGCACCTCAAATGTTTTAAAGAATTTTGCATTCACAACATCTCAAAAACTTAGTGGCTAATTTTGATAATTTCAACTCATCCAGGCATGTGACACAGTAAAGTGTGACACAGAAATAACTGCATCAGAGGTGAGGTGGCTCTAAATGTTAAAGAATAACTACATTAAGACAGTGGTGCTCTCAGATTAATTAGCCTTTACTACTTACTCTACAGAGCCACATGGCTAAACTGCTTCTGAGACTTATGGTGGAATCC